TTTCATGTTCTTCAAATCTTAGCTCAAAATTACCAGCAGTAAAAACCTGACCTTGACCCACCTGGCTGTCTTCTTCCACTTTGATTCTGCTGTACCAGCTGCGCCTTTCCATGACCGTTTGACAGCCTTTTTTGTGTGTGAGAATTTTAAAATGATATCAAGGGGTATGTCTTGCCAAATGTTCATTTCAAGAAAAAGCTGGCACCGGGGAGTCAGTCAGTCACATCGCTAACGCATGTTTAATTTGCCAACATTTTTTCATAGCAAGGCTTCCCTGAAGAAGGAATTAGTGCGAGTTTCATTCACTGTAAAGTGGCACTTTAATAACTCCGAACTAGGTGGTAAGGGTGTTAATGGCCATTTTCCTCTTGCCAGTCCTGTGGGAGGGTGGAACAGCCTGATGTGAGGGATCCGATGACTGGTTCATGGTGAGATGTTATCTTCACAGAGTGATAATCACTAATAAGAGGTGAGACTTTTGAGTGTTCACTCTATGTCAAGGCCTGTTCTATGTAGTTTGCATGAATGAGCTCACTTGAACCTTACAATGACCAGTGAGGTGGGTACTCACATTGTCCCCATTCTGCAGAGGGAGAAACAGAGGCCCTAAGACAGGGGTGGGCAACCTTTTTGTGAGTGCGTGCCCAAACCAGCAAAATCTCTGACATCTCTGACTCAAAATTCTTCTGCGTGCCAACCCTAATTTTTTGAGAACGTGTTACGCCTACTTGATATCTCTTCAGGTGTACGTATGTGAAGAACCTTGAAGAAATAATAAAATTCATTCGAGCGACAAAAACACAGTATATGATGACGAAAAATACATTTATTTTTTAATGTGTACATGTACACTGATAGTCCGACAGAAAACTTTATGACTCCGTTTGGTATTATCAGTGGGACTTTTGCTGCTGCATCACTGATGACAGAGATTTTACATCAGGTTTATATTTCGTGACCTTCAGAGATATGCACGAGCTACTACTTTCATCCGTCAGGCTACTCCTATTACGAGATTTAACAAAATTCATCACTGAGAACAAAGATTTACAAGCGTATATGGATGAAACTAAAACACTGGTTGGATCTAGGAAGGCAGGGGGAGTTAAGGCAGAGGCATAGAAATTGCTCTTCCCTTCTCTCGTCAATCAATGTCTATGGTCTTTAAGATAACTTGTTATGTAAAATTATTTATCTAAGATGCACCTACACTGAATTTATCTGAAAAATAAAAAAGTTGATATTAAGGAAAAAATTGTAAATGGAAGATTATAAGAGAGGGTTTCGCATGCCAGCAAAAGTTACTGGTGTGTCATGTTTGGCATGCGTGCCAGGGGTTGCCCACCCCTGCCCTAAGAAATTCATTAACTTTCCCCAAACCTTAATGTTAGTAAGTGGCTATGTCAGAATTCAAATCCAAATCTGTTTGACTCCAAAGTCGTGCTATAGCTAGATCACAGTTGTACAACAGAAACTTTTGCAGTGATGAAAATATTCTGTGTCTGGCTGATGTGGCTCAGGGGTTGAGCATCAGCCCACACACCAGGAGGTCACCAGTTCTGTTCCCAGTCATGGCATATGCAAGAATTGTGGGCTTGATCCCCCACAGAGGGCATGCAGGGGCAGCCAATCGATGTTATTATTTCTCATTGATGTTTCTATCTCTCCCACTCCCTTCCTCTCTCTCTCTAAATATCAATAAAAACATTTTTAAAAAATGTTTTATATATGCTGTGTGCAGTATGGTAGCCAATAACCGCATGAGTACTTGAAATGTGGCTAGCTCAACTGAGGAAGCGAATTTCCAGTTTCATTTTACTTTAATTAACTTATGATTAAATTAAAGTAGGCATATGTGGCTAGTGGCTACTCAATTGGACAGCACAACTCTGGATACTTTTTGTATGTTGCAGACTATAAGCTAATGGGAAAACCAAGTCAGGAAAATACGTTAATAGAATATGCTATTCTTTCTCCATTTCTAGAGTTTCCCTAGATCCCACATTAAAGAAAAAAGGCTGATCTGTTGCCATATGGAAGATTCAATTTAAAAATGAATTAGTGACTGCCTCCTCTGGTTCAGGCACTGTACTAGGCTTTGGGCATTCTAAATTACCAAGCTACGGTTCCTGTCTTCAAGGAGCTCATAATCTCAGTAACTCTGAAGAATATTTTAAACATTTTTTCCCAGAGTTTCTTCATAGATGATAACACAGAAATTTAAATCTCTCCTCTCTAATTCTTTGCTGTGTTTTGCCTTCATTTTTAATATTTTCTTAACAAACATAGACTCTTCTTTTTTTACTGCAAAATAGACTTATTGATGCCAACTCTGAAATGTTGCTGGAACCACTCTCCTCATAATCCATTTACAATTATCCATTTTCAGAAGTGTCAGTCCTATAGTGTTCTGGTCACTTCCAATTATTTGTCTAGTCCAGCGGTTCTCAACCTGTGGGTCGCGACCCCTTTGGCGGTCGAACGACCCTTTCACAGGGGTCGCCTAAGACCATCCTGCATATCAGATACTTATATTACGATTCATAACAGTAGCAACATTACAGTTATGAAGTAGCAACGAGAATAATTTTATGGTTGGGTCACAACATGAGGAACTGTATTTAAAGGGCCAGAAGGTTGAGAACCACTGGACTCTAGTCTATTTAAAATCCCAACCACATCTCCATATGTTCCTCCAGTTCAAGTAATAACTGGGACTAGTAGGGGAAAGGGGTGCCTTCTAGCTTCCTCTTTCTAGTTCTAATTGTTGGAAGTTAGAGACTGAGAGGGTGGCATAGAACCAAAGGGCCAGCTGTCTCCTGCTTAACTAGGCCATCCTCTGTCGGTGGTTGCTTCTTTTCCTGGCTAACAGTAACTGATCTTTGATACCTTCTGTATGAGAGGGTTCTAAAGTTGGGCTCTCTTATAGGATATGTGTGTGAGTTCTTCCACATTCCATATAGTGGCCTCCCCACTGGCCTTCTGTGGGTGATCAGGCTTAACCTCCCCTGGTGGTACAGCTCAACAGCTCTCATTATCTGAGTCCCATTGGAGGCCAGGCCTGATCACAGCTTTGCTGGATCAAACACTGGAAACAAGATATGATACTTTTCTCCATTATTTTTTTTCTTTTGCCAGGTAAGTTTAAGAGCAAGTCAATAATATCATTAGCTGATATGATATCCAGCCAAGGGATAAAATGCCAGTCTGTATTAATCATCTCTGGCTGCCATAAAAATACCGTACCTGGACTTCTAGAAGCTGGGAAGTCCAAGATCAAGATCAAGATACTGGCTGGTTCAGTTCTCTGATGAGGACTCTCTTCCTGGATTGCAGATGGCTGCCTTCTTACTATGTCTGTCCTCACGTGATGGGGAGGAGAGAGGAAGCAAGCTCTCTAGCGTCTCTTCTTATAAAGGCACTAATTTTATTATGAGGGCCCCACCTTTATGCATTCACTTAACCTCATTACCTCCCAAAAGCCCCATCTCCAAATACCATAACATTAGAGGGTAGGGTTTCAATGTGAGAATTTGGGTTCAAAACACAATCTCTCTGTGTATAGCCACATAACAATTTTCATCCGGTCCTCAGCTTGTGATTCCAATCTTTGTCTTTCCCTGATTGGTATTTTAGTCTCCTGTATATGGACTGGGGTTGGGCTCTTGAAGGGGAGTTAGGGATTTGTAAGTCATAGACATATTAAGGGTTTGCCCACCTCTGCGTTAGTCCTGGAGCAGGTACCTGATGTAGCTATGAAACTCCTCTAGATTGTGGGCCAACCGAAAGCTTCTTTATTCCCAACATTGGGTTTTAGTCACCAGTTCCAGGGAAAATGTCAAGCTACATTTAAAGTCCTATTAAAATATCATTCTTTACCCACCCTCTTGAATTCTCAGCCTCCACAAGAAACATTCCCTTTGAGTAACACTACTTCAAGGCCAGCTCAAATGTACCTACTCACTGAAGTCTGTCCAAGTTCCTTATCTTCCTAATCTCTAGAGAATTAATTGCCTCACTCTATTTTTACATGGGTTTTTCTTCATTCTTCTGTTGAAACACTAACAGCTTTATTTAGTTTTTTGAAGTTTTCCCCATGCACAGGTTGGTGAGTTCCTTAAGTATTAAAACCAGTTATTAGAGCATCTAGTATAGGTCCTTATATACAATCTTGAGTAAATATTTTTCAATAAATAACTCAAGAAAGTACCAGTATGCAAACATATATATTGAAAGTCTAAACTTTTGGACTTAACATTATATTAACTTTTAACTATATCAGTAGCAGTCAGAAATAAGATTATACATACAATTTTATTATTAGTATAGATATTCTTTATATCATGAACCATTCTGATCTTTGGTTAAAGTGTTTCTTAATTTATTTTACAAAATAGGATTTATAATGCTTAACTCTTTTAAATGCTGTAATTAAGTTACACTACCTTTTAAGTAGGAAACATACTACTTTATGGTTTCCTAATGCTATAATCTGTTGGCATAGTTAAACTCCTTCAAAATGACGTATTCCTTGAAAACATGATGTATTTTACTACTGAGTGTCTGCAGGGAGAGTTTGTCACTTCACTCTTAGAATAAATGTTTGCAACTTAGAGATGGTCAGTAATGACACTGAGTCCACAAACACATTTGACACCACATTTGCTTTGTGGGGGTTTTTTTTTGTGTGTGTGTGAGAAAGTAAAAAAAAACATTTCACTGGAGAACTGTATGAAATGTTATAGTTTCTTTTAAATGATGTATGATTATTTGTCTTCCAAATGAAATAGTCAACATGGATTTGAGTTAAGTTATGGGGAAGTCTAAAGGTTTTAGGAAAAATTAACCCCCCCAAATTCCTATTGACTTCTGAAGCTTTCTCCATATGAGTCTTCCTGTTTTTCTAGCCTGATCTGTGTGGCGGTAACTAAATGTGAGGATGGGAGAATCGTTCAGTACGTACTTTTAAATCATTTTACCCCTCTCCTTGACTTCTACAGAATTCATTTCCACGTACGGCCATCTGGTTCTTTGAAGCAGTATCCCATCATGTGCCATGCTGGTGTTGGCACAGGACGCAGAGAAGTCAATGTTAGCATATAGCCAGCCAACAGGAAGTCATGTAAGTAAGGTTTTAAGAATTATATCAGGCAGTATAGATTTTTTAATGTAAGCATGTAACGAATAATAACGAAGATGTGGCAAACCCGGTGAAGTTATATATAGGGTGTCCCAAAAATGCATATATACACTTTTAATATTTATAAAAGTAGTGTTTATTAAATTACATTTCATTTTCAAAGTTGAGCTATCAGCTGTTGAAGTGTGCATACATTTTTTGAGCAGCTGTATATACTCAGAAATTTTTAAATGAGCATTTTGGCTATAAAGGAAAATGCCATTTGTCATAGAATATTTAAGGCATTTTCTGAGGACAGAGAACATTGCATATATCAGAGGTGGGCAATATATATTTTTTCTGAAAAGAGCCAGGTGGTAAATACGGTAGGCTTTGTAAGCCAACTGATCTTAGTCAGAACTGCTCAGCTCGGCCTTATTGTTGTTTGGCAGCCATAGACAGAATGGGCGTGGCTTTCTTCCAACAAAGTCTTATTTACAAAACAGATGAAAGGTTTGGCCTGTGGGTCATAGTTTGTCCACTGTTGGCATGCAAGGTGAAGACATTCTACATCTCATTTTCTGTAATTATTTATGTTAATTTGAAAGGAACTGGAGAGCTTAAAATTAAATAATGAATGCAATTCAGCTACTCAATTTCTGAGTGATTTTGCCACTGTCAAGAAAGTAGAGAATAATGTAGATTAGGTTTTTTGAATGGCATATTGAAACTTTTGAAAAATATTTTAGAATAATGTAAATTGAAGGTCAGCCTCAAGAACTAAACAAAATAAAGTTACAGACATGGAAACCCAAGAAACTGACTTTCTCTTGATAAAGTGACTACACTTTTATTTTATTTTTACTTTCAGTAATATTAGCTCTTTCAGAAAAAAATCCTGGAGCATGTGTATAGATCAGGAAAAAATATGAAATAAAGGGTTTATGAAAAATGAAACTCTTTACAAGAATCTTAGGAGGAAAAGGTAAATTCCTGTCTTGGGCAATCATTTCTGGCATCAGAAAATAATAAGTAAATAAACATTGAAAGGAAAAGTATGAAGAACATGCTTTTTTCCTATAATTACCTACAAAGTAAAACTTATCCTCTAACTTCATATCCTTCCTTGAAACTGCTCTGTTTCCTAGAATTTTAATTAAGAATTCCCCAAACTCAAGAAACGTACTAACAGTCTTAGGGAAAAACACATACTAGGTATTGCTACCACTGAGGAACCCAGCAATCATTAAGAAGTAATATGTCAGGATAAAGAAGGGTTCATACTAGGAATGAAATATGATTTCTATTAGAGTAATTCATCATATTCATTGATCTAAGGGAGAAAAGGCATGTGTAGCATATGTTAATCTCTATAGATGCTGAATAGTCATTTGACAAAATGCAACAGTCATTCTGCATGTTAAGAAAAACAAAAGATGACTCAATAGGGTAAGAGTTAAACATATGACCATGACAAGCTGACAGACTGTTTATGCACTAACATGCACATCTGAGCCCGGACACAGCCTTATAAGTCATGTCAAAATGCTATAGGCTTTCTGCTGTGTCTGCTATAAGTACAAATGAAATGAAAAGGGTGCATAGTTCTCACCATTAGCGAAGCTCTGCCTGAGTTATTAGTCAGCAAAGCTAGACAGGAGAAAGAAATGTGAGGATAACATTTAGGAAGGTGAAAGTAAAACTGTTATTTGTGGGTGACTTAATACTTAGAAAACCCAAAGAAGCTAAAATGTTTCAATTCCAACATCTAAAAGAGAAAAAAAGATAAATCTGACACATAAGAAAATTTTTTTTGGTTGGCAAAAACAAATCAAAACAAAAAACCCCAGCTACTCTGGGGAAATTCTAAAGGAGAATGATAAACTAAGAAAAAATATCTGCCTCTCAAATAACCAAGCATTTTCTCGCTAATATGTTAAATTGTGGGGGTGTGGGGAAGTGCAAAGCAATAGAACGATGGGCAAAGATTATGAAGGGATAGTTTGCATTAAAAGAAATACAAATTCCATTTCAACTTATAACAATATTCAACCTCCTATAAAATGCTTGGTTTTTACATTTTATTTAAGAACTATGGGAATGTAAGTATATACTTCTAAGTTTGCTTGCGTTTCATAGGGGCAGTTTCAAGAACCCACAGGAACTAATAAAAATGGTTGTCTGAATAAAGACAAGAGGGTGGAGGGAAAACAGGGTGGCCAGGGATAGGAATCAGGGCACAATTTCTAAATGGATACCTCTCATATTGTTTTGTTTTTCAACCATGTGGATAGATTACCTTTATAGGAAAAAAATATTATAAAATGTATTTTTTTTCAATTTTGTAAAACGAGGAATTGCATCTCATTTTATTTTGTATTCTTGATTATTATAGACATTGAATTTCTTTGTTTTCATTTATTATTCATTTTTTCATTTTTTGAAATTATCTCTTCAGTTCCCTACATTTAGAGATATTTTCATTTTTGTAAACCAAATTTTCTAATTCCCTACAACAGTGTCGGCAAACTGTGGCCCCTTGAGTGTGGCTCTTCCACAAAATACCACTTGTGGGTGCGCACGTCCAGTGTGATTGAAACTTTGTGGCCACACTCAAAGGGCCAAAGGACCACATGTGGCTCACGAGCCGCAGTTTGCCGACCACTGCCCTACAATATAAGCAACCAGTACATTTTAACATACTTATTTCGCTTTAAAAAATCTGTTTATCTTATCATTTTGTTTACTATACATTAACTTACAGGACTTCATGATTTTTATTTTGTCAAATCTATCAATCTTATTTTCTTAAGTATTTAAAAAATTGTTTTAAAGCCTATCCAGGATGATATACTTATATATTTTTTAATAGAATGTCTTTTTTTTTTTTAATTCTCACCTGAGGATATTTTTTCCATTGATTTTGTTTTTTAGAGAGAGTGGAAGGGAGGGTGGAGGGGGAGAGAGAGAAAAAAACATCGGCATAAGAGAGACATATGGAGTAGTTGCCTCCTGCTGGAGGGTTCTTTTTTTTTCTTTATTGATTAAGGTATTGCATGTGTCCTTATCCCGCCCCCCTCCCCGTCCTCCCCCCACCCATCCCCCGCTCATGCCCTCACCCCCCTGGTGTCTGTGTCCATTGGTTATGCTTATGTGCATGCATACACATCCTGTGGTTGATCTCTCCCCCTTGCTGGAGGGTCCTTGACCAGGAATCGAAACTGGTCAAGACTGAGGGCTGATGCTCTAACCACTGAGCAATCTGGCAGGGCTAGAATGCCTTTTTTTTAAAAGCTGGAATTTGTCATATGATGTGAGATGAGAATATTATTCTTCTCCTAAATAGCTAACCAGTGGCTTCTCAGAATGTTTGTTAAATAATGTTCCCTTACCTGCGGTGTCATGATTCAGTGTTTCATGAAGTCATCTATTCATACTTCAGTGACAAATTTATTTTTTTGTGTGGTCAATTTTAACATCTACTAGGTCTAGTTCCTCTTTATCACTTCTCTATCTCAAAATAATTTTCACCAGTGGATTTTTCCCTATCAACTCTAAGATCATAGTGTCAGTTTAACTTTCTATATCCACTTATATGTCAAGTTCACTTCCAATTTTATTTCTTCTGAGATAATTTGGGAAAATAATAACTCTGTAGTGTATAGTGTTCCCATCCAGGAATAAAGTATACTTCTTAAATTATTCTGAGGATGGTCTTAGGCGACTCTTGTGAAAGGGTCATTTGACCGCCAAAGAGGCCACGACCCACAGGTTGAGAACCGCTGTTCTATTGTCTGATTTTATTGACTTTTATTCAAATTCAATATATTCCTTATCATGTTCATTCTTAAGAATATAATTTTGTCATTAATATGAACTAAGTAATTTTTTCTACATATTGCTAAGATATAGAATGATGAATATGAAAATTTTTGTTATTTAATTTTTATTTATGATTTATTTTGTTCTAAACCATCCCATATAACTTGCTGTTTTAGTTCTTATGATGCCTCATGTAATTTGCTTAGCTTTGTTAATTAAATAATTGTAGAAGAATATACCAGTAGTGGTTTTATTATTTTGAATAATTATAACTATAGTTTCTATTTTTCTGCCATTATTTGTGTTAATCAGAAATTCCAGAAAAATGCCAAATAATATCACCAGACTATCTTATTCTGATTCCTGAATACAATGGGAATGAATACCTATAGTGATTTGCTAGTAAGCTTGACATTGGTATTAAATTGAAGGAGATTTTTATTATCTTAAGAAATTATTATTCTATTCCTTTGATTAAGAATATTTTTTTTTTAGAAAAAAGAACCAGTGCTGACTTTTGTCAAATGCATTTTTAGGGCACAGTTGGTACAGTGTTTGGAGACCGGCTCACTCGAATCTGAAGCCCTCTCTGCCACCTAGTAGCATTGCTATCAGTTTTATCATTTGCCAGATGGACGCAGCAATGGTTCCTGCCTCATAGAGGTTCTATAAACAGCACATGAGCGAAGCCTTTAACCTGTTATGCGTGGCCTTTGGATTATAGTAGGCACTTAATAAGCAATAGCTATTACTATCATCTATTCAGATGATGACACATTTTTTCTATGGAACAACTTAAAATGAAAGAATGTGAGCAAAGCAAGTCTGACACGAATCAGAAGACAGTGACTTACCTTATTAAGAGCATATGTCTGTCTACCCTGTGTTGGAGCACCTATGGTTCAATTCACACCCTATTGTCTTCCTTCTCAGTATGTCACTTACCTTTAAAAAAATGGGTTTGCTTTGCCTAGTCAGCAAGATTAAGAAACAAGTTTGGGTTCTGCTTTTCAGAACTCTATTTATTCACTTATGGGGAGGAAGGGTGGAGTTCAATCAAATACTAATTTTTGAAACTCTGGATTTTTTAGTTATAATGGGGGATAATGTGAGATGTGTTTATTTTTTGTCATGTAGCAGTGTATATTTTATCACATATTTTTGTTTGTCTTGTTTTGTTT